CCCTGTGTGGCTGTTAGTGTGATTGCTCCCAGGCCTGAGGATGGCTGGAAGTCTTTGGAAAGCTTGTGGCCCGGATGCTATCTGTGAGATCAGAAAGATCTCTTTCTGGGCGGGTAATACCAAAGAGCCTTTTAGTGTTTACTGCCTGGTATTTCCTCCCTTCTTCACTTTTCCAGAGAAAAGTTTCTGTGGATAAGAACGAGCAGGCAGGTGATCAGAGGCTTTTAAAGGCAACAGCAGGCTTGGCGGCTCTCTCTCAGTGTGTTGTTAGTGTTAGCACTTGCTGGAGGATGTTCCTCAGGAGGCTCTTGATTTCGTGTCTCAGGGAAATTCCCCAATTAGGGAAGATGTTTCAGCAATATGGCCAGCAAGAAAGGAAAGGAGGAGAGCTTTTAGCTGGGAGCATCCAAGGGATTTGGTATCAGTAGTCTTAGTTCTAAAGATTTGCTTCAAAAAAATAATTGGAGCAAATACATGGCGGGGGTTGTAGACCAAGGGGTTACTTGTCCTCAGAAGGAGAGGTCTCTTCAACTTGCAGCTGAATCAATATGATTTTAATTATTTCTGGTGATCTTTTATAACATGGCGGGGGTTGTAGACCAAGGGGTTACTTGTCCTCAGAAGGAGAGGGCTCTTCAACTTGCAGCTGAATCAATATGATTTTAATTATTACTGGTTATCTTTTATAGGCTTTTAATTAACATCAACACAGCTCAGGGAAACTACCAGGACAACAAAGGTTCTGGGCATATGCCATTCCTGGAATTGATGAGATTTCTCTGGCATGCCTAATAAACTGAGATACCAATGGTTAAAAGAAGCAAGCAGTTGAGAATGTCTGACTCATCACCAGGGAAGAGGGAAAAGTTGTAAAGTTGCACAAAAAATTATTGGAATATTACAAGCCCAGGGGGTGGGGAGAGGCAAGGACCAGTGTCAGAAGACTGTTGCTGCCTGATAGCTCAAAGAAGGGAAAAGTTGATCCTTTTGTTTTCTGTGGTAAATTAATAAAAGCATTTTTCCCATGAAGACACCCTTGGTGAACCAAAGTATAGCTCTGACATGTCATGGTGGGGGTGATTTGTAGTGTAGGCTCTTTGATGCCTGTCTTTAAG